GAGAGAGATCCTGCCAGATGCTCACCAACTGGCCCTGGAGACGACAAAACCCATATTTACTTAGATGCCTCCACTTTCAGCATAGGAGACGTGATTTTGTGATGGCATTTGCAGGACCTACCTTGTGACACTTGTAGTAATACGCAAGAAGCTGCGGCATTCTATCTATCTCTGTGAAGACTTTAACAAACAGCTTGGCCTGGTCTGCAGAGAGGAAAGAATATATGTATACTTAGTGTACACTGGAAGCAAACAACAGCAAACAAAGGCAGAGAAGATGGAATAAATTTGACAAACAAAACACTGAGCTCTAGGGGTCCTACCTATAGACATGGAATTAAAAGTAGCTACTATTTGTGGGCTGGCCATGGCCTCCAGTCTGTTTTTTAGAGCCTCCAGGTGGACACACTTCTCAGAATAGTCTGGCGTGTCCACCAGCATGGACAGGCTGTTCTGCATGCTGGTCAGCTTGGAGGAAATTACGGCAAGGTCCTGGAAAAAGGAGAAGAAAATATCTTAAAATTCTATAATGAGTTCGTGGACGATAACTAACAGTAATTACACACGTCAGAAATTCAATATTTTAAAGTCTTTTTCTAATCTCAGCACAATCTGTTTACATTGATGCCGAGTCTGTGAATGTCAATGTACAGGATGTCTTGGTTGTCATATGGATGAGAAACAAAGGTCTATCATTATGAAGCCTGTGGCGGTTCCCTTCATTCATACCTGTGTTTTGAAGGTCTCCTCGATGTCAGCACTCAGCGTGCTCCACTTGTCTGCCTCCTGCAGCGCTTCAGCAGCCAGCTGCATTCGACCCTTCACCTGATCGATCTCCACCAGGACCTGATGAATATGATCCAAGCAACAATCAATTAAAGCTGCATTTCCTCTGAGCACTAGGCACATCTCATTGCCACAGTCAGGTTTTGACTATCATAATGCTTACGATCACCGAAATGATTTGAATAACGTGTCATTGCAGATCTGTTTATTGTTTTCAATGCAAACACTACTTCACAAATACACTGTATAGAAATCACACACCTGCATGGACTGAACAGTGTCTTGCTCAAACTTCTTGATGTCCTCTTTGACCAGGACCATTTGCTCCTTCAGGAAGGACGCCTCCTGTTTCAAAGCCTCCACATCTCTCAACACTCGAGGCATGTTTTGAAGGGCCTGATTACTGCTCTCTGCACAACAACACACAGTCAGAAATCATTAAAAAAACATCACAAGACAATCATGACTTTCATACAATCAGTTTGTGCCGCTGCGGTTCTGTTTGGAATAGATTTCTTTTTTATAAAAATAAATTGAACAATCTTATCCTCTGTCCTGATTCATGTCATTTCTTCTGTTGTGTGTTTGTTGTGGTTATGCAACAAATACTGTCATAACATTAAACGGCAAATTGATATTTTTGAATGAATGAATGTTGAATGATATATGAGTCATATGAATGAATGCTCCTCTTTACAGAAACAAGATTGTTTTTATTGTCATGTTTCAGGCAAAGACTGGGTGCGTGTATGTCCTGATGATGTTTGCTTAAGAGACGATACCATGAAAGCTCTAAAACAAACCTCGCTTTGATCGTGTCCACTGGTTTTACTGGTTTCCTGCTGCTGTATCTGATATCCATGTGGTGTGTAACATTACTGGAGATATGACGATTAGATAATTGATCTACTGACAGAAAATATTCAACTATTCTGATAATTTAGTGTTTGCCTATTTTTAGCTGTTTGGGTTTATTACATTTTATACATATTTTATAATATTTGCCATTTCTAACTTCTCAGACATGAAGATTTAATGCACTTCATTAAAAACAGTAAACTGAGTATCTGTGGATTTTGGACTGCTGGTCGGACCAAAACATCAACTTTTCACGTAGACACAGGTGCTGCAACATTTCTTCACTATTTTCTAGCATTTTGCAAACAAAACAATTAATTTCAACAATAATCAGATTAATTGGTCATGAAATTACTCATAGCTGCAGTCTGAAATAGGGCTGAACAGTTACTTGATTTCAAATTGTTCAGCTCTCATCTAAAACATTGTTATTTGGTGATGTGAATTGCTGCAAATTACCAAACACAAGGACTTTCTTTCTTTTTTTTTTTTTTAAATCGTGGGTTTCTACATCAAACTGCATCCGCTTCATTTCTGCAAAGGCAACCAACTCATTGCATCAGTTTCAACAGTGAAGTCAGTGATGACAGCTAACGAAGTAGACATAAGGTATGTTGCCATGTTGTATAGACAGCCTGCAGCAAAAATTCAAGTAAACAAACAAAAGCCTAAATAACAACAATGCCATAAAGTCAGTTGGTAGTGTATTATTTACTGCTGGCTCGGGCTGCGAAGTACGATTTCAAAGCTTGGTGTTTCCCATCACTTGACTTCCTCAAATGTCCACAACTTAAAGATATGCAGTCAACTATTTTTGTGAAGACTGTAGCTTGCTGTGATGTTGGACTGTATTTGTGCGACAATGAGAAGTATTTCTAATCCTTATGAACAAAGTGAAACAGCTCTCAACATAAAGTAAGCACATCAATCAATAGGGAGCATTTACTGGAGGTTACCAGTATTAGGTTTAGCTTAGTATAGCTGTCTAATAACATTTATACATCACAGCGAGGGAAACCACTGGAGCTGGATACATCTGAACATGTTAGGAGGTGATAGTTGTTTTAAACTGCTCACCTTCGATGCTATTGTTGACTTCTTGGATGAACAGCTGCAGCTTCATGACCAGTGTAGCTGCGTGTGTGTCCGCCTTCCCCGGAGCGTCCTTCTGCACCACCTTGAAGGCTCCGTTCACCCAGTCTTTCACGTCAAAGTCATCGTCCAGGAACTTAGAGAAATCCATCTTTGCTCCTTCACAAGGTGCAAGAAGCTGGGCGGTGTTCAGGAAAACTCTTCTGGTGCAGTCTGTGTCATCGACCCATCGCTAACGCTGGGCGAGCTAATTCTTCCCAAACAGTGGCTTCGACACAAATATAAAATAAATGGCCCAAGAAAATGAAATTATCATGACAACTAAATATAGCTCCAACAATGCGACGGCCTCCTCCAGAGTTATTTTTTAAAGGTGTACGGCTTTAAAGGGAGAAAAGTAAAGACATATTTCTGAATGTCTGATGCTAGCAGTGCTACGTACGCTGACAACAACTTCCTCTGGTGCTTTCTGTTTAACTTCCCCAGAAACAATAGCTCACACAAACTGACCTGCTATATTAAAATAAATAAATAAACAAAACCTCACCAAGAGAATCAAGAACGGACTTTCTGTCAGCAACTTGTTTTGTGTGTTTTTTTTGTTTTGTTTTGTTTTTTTTAAAAGATGTTTTACGTTTTAAGTTAAATTTTTTTTTTAAGTTAGCCTAAGCAGTGTCACACAAAAATATGTCCGTGCAGAAACGTGCTTTCGTCATTCATTTTCTTCTACCTATTATTATTCTTTTCATTGTTGTTGTTGTTGTTGTTGTTATCTCTTCCGTCACAGTCTTAATAATGATAATAATGATGATGATGATGATGATGATGATGATGATGATGATAATAGGTAGAGGAATAAGAATGACACAAGCACGATATTATTATTATTATTATTATTATTATTATTATTATTATTATTATTATTATTGTTGTTCTTGTTATTATCTGGGACTTGACTCTCAGGTAGTTCAGATTATGTCAATTTAACAGAAGCGGTAATTTACATTACAAAGTTTACATATGAGTATAAATGTTAGTCAACTGAATATATATACAAATGGGCAACAAATTAAAAGAAAAAACAGACCTTTGACTCCAGCATGAGGGATCTGGAGCTTATTTTGCAGGAGATTTTTTGCTGGCATGATTTGGGTCCACTTATCTCCCTAGATGGAAGGTTCAAAACAAATCAATACAAAGCTGTTCTGAGTGATCACCTTTATCTTATGATGAAACCTTTCTATCTGGTGTCTTTTTAAGAATGAAATTATCCATTTACAGGGCATGTGGGGTCACCGAGTGGTTTAATGAGCATGAAAATAATGTGAGCTATATGCTGTGGCCTTTGCAGTCAACAGATCTCAACCCAACTGAACAGCTATGAGTATTTTGGACTGGCATGTCAGACAGCACATCACCAAATGAGGAAACATCTTTTGGAAGAATGTTGTTCAGCCCCTCAGTAACACCAGTGCTTTTAAGACGGCCACTGTGTTTTTTCTTCCCTTTAACTTGTCACACCATCGTCCCATCTCTAAGTCTAGATATTGATGCTGTTTTTTTTTGTATCTGCAGGCTGTCATTGTGCATTTTTGTCATCCTTAACCAGTCCATACCTAAATGGTGTTTAAAGGTGAAGTTGTGGTGTTTGTAACTGACTTTTTTAAATGAACAAATACAGCATAGTAACAAGGCTACACATCACAACTTACTTAGCTTGTGCTGTCACTAATCACCACTGTTCCCTATTTGACTATAGCACACTTACATATAGTCGGCATGACCTGGGATCTCGTTTTGGTTGGCGTGCATGTTACATCTACAACAACTGATACAGGCTTCTCCTGTACCAGAATATATATACAGCAACTACTGGAAATGTTCTCTTTCCATCACAAAAAAAAAAACACAGTCCTCATGCTGTATTTGGTATGATTCATCTCCTGCTGGCCCTTAACTTGAGGAAAGCTATTATGATGTTAAAGTTTTATTCATAAAAATGATCCATAAATACAGGAAAATGTCAGTAGATACAGCAGTAATGACTACAATCCTTTAATAGTGTCACTGCTGAAGTAGCAGCTTTATACTGTCGTGCTTTCAGACTTGAACCTCTCATTTATTTCCTATCTGCTGCCGTAGACAGTTATCGCTACACACTGTGTGTTCAATGAATATTATGCAAACCGTGAAGGCAGTAAAAGACTTCATGGGAAGAGGAGCTGGAAGGCAACAGAAAACACACATCAAACGTATCTGAACCAGCTTCTAGCAGCCGTCTGGAGGACATTCACAACAAGGATATCTCAGCAGCTCTTCAGCTCATTTAAGGAGATGGGAATACTAGATACCATCAAGGACACAATGTCCAAAGCGGTGTTCAGTCCTTCTACTCTGATGTCCGGACGAGGAGGGCTGCACATGGCTCAGATCCTTCTGTCTCTGGTCACCTTCCTCCTGGCTTCCTTCAGAGGAGGGAGCAGCCACACATACTGGAACTACGCTATGTTCACCTGGGCCTTCTGCCCCATCATGACCCTCATCATCACCATTATCGAGCTGTTCAAGCTTGACATTCTTCTCGTGCTTTGCATGGACTGGGGTGACTTCACCACAGGGATGGCCATGTCCTCCACGCTCATGACCGTCTCTGTCGCTATCACCTACGGCAACTTTTACGCCTGCCTGAAATGCCTGTACGGCTGGATAGTGACCATATTCGCTTTCTTGTGCGCCCTCGTCTACACGCTTGAAGTGGTGAAAGACAAAATCCTGGACAAGAAGAAGGGGAGCTACCTGGCTGCTCTGCCTGGATTCTGGAAGGTTATGGAGGCCTTTGTGAGCTGCATGATTTTCGTATCACTGACTGGCTACAGAGACAGACCAGTTCTGATCTTGTGTGTCATAGCGTATATCATTCCTTTCCCCATCCTCCCTCTCATCATAGCCACCAACATCCTGAAAAAACTGAAGAAATGCCTGCCTTTTAACCTCGACAGGTTCGTGTTCATATTCCTGGTGATCTCTGTTGTGCTGTACGTATTTGCTGCTATCATGTGGCCCATTTTCATGTTCAGAAACAACCCGCGTCCCAGTGACTGTCCTCCCAGCTTTTGTATATGGGCCATTCAGTTTATGGTTGCATTTCTGACATATGTAAATCTCATTCTTTTCACACTAGACCTCATTTTTACTCTGCTCGGGATCTGTGACTTCAAACGCACATAAACTACAAAAATTGTACCGTTATTTGTATTTCAGGGCAGCTGGATGGATTTTGATGAAAGAAAAATTGTTGCTTTAAGATAAAATAAATGCATATGTGAGGATAGATTCCTCAATTTCTCATTACATTTTTTAGATGCTTTAAGTTTCTAGTTTGAATGATTTTTTTAAAACCTGGTTTCCAGTTGGAGAACATTGTAATTTATTCCTAGAGGTCATGTCATGACATTTAAGTCCATGTAGTAGCATCAACTGCTGTACACTAGAGGTATAGGTACATCTTGTAATTATAATAAAACTATAAAACTACAACTCAATATTGACATGAAACATCCTCTGTTAATTTCTTGCAGTGACACGGTGCTTCTTTGTATTGCAAGTTTAAATATGCAAATGAGATATTATATATCTAAAAGTACCCTAATTTGCATGAATTTCCACAATAGAAATCGAAACACTTGATAAAGTCAGCTGCCAAATTTGAGTTTTTTGTGACTTTGCTCACATTTTTATGTCACAGATTTTACAGAGGGCATTTTGGATTTCTCTTTTTAACATTTCACAAAATACCATCAACAGGCAGAAGATGTTTTTTGTATTAAATAGAGCTTTGCGTTAGTTCAGACAGGCATGGAGTCACAAGGCCCTTTCTGTACAATCGTCCAGCCCACCCACGTGGTGCTCTATAACTGAGGCAGCGTTCATTCATTCTGCCCACTCCACGCTCAGCACATCGCTGCTACACCAGCCTCTGCAGATTGACAGATCTCCTCCTCCTTCCCAACCACCCCCCTTTTTAAAACAGTTCAATTTGTAAGGTCTTCACCTTACCATGTGAAACGCTATATGATGACACATGTTGTAAACAGCGCTATACAAATGAAATTGAATTGAATTGAATAACCCCGGTTGTTTCCCACATCGTGGGACTGTAGGATGCAGACGGTTCTTTATTGTACCTTGGAACTATGTAATCTGGATTCTGTAAAGTGAGGACCATTTAGTTGGTCTCCTTGTTCTTGTTTTTATACTGTATTTGCATATTGTAAATTTAAGGCTCTGCCGGGGGGGTTTGTGATCTCAGGGACTGTCTGTTTCAGGCTTGTTCAGATTGTTCCAGAGCATCACTCAAGCAGAGTCACTGCCAAACTTAAATGCATGTGATCCCAAATAAATGGGTAAATCTGACAAAGTGTCCTGTCTGAAATGATCTGTAAGTCAGAGGATAATGATATGTGAATAAGCCTCTCTGTAAAAACGGCCAGAATGTAGATAGAATTAAATAGCATGTAGAATTAAAACTGGAAAAGTTTGATGTACTCAGGAGCTCCTGAAGTGGAGATTTTTTTTGCTCAGAGTATGAAGGAAAAACTCCTTTTGAGAAAAAGGTCTTCACAGATACAGTATGTGTTTAAAACTTTTGTACATTTTCACCTGAAACCACTATTTATGGTAAAAATGTCAACTAATGGCTGTCACCATGACATGGGCAGATTCTTTTGTCTTATAACTTATCTGAAACATTGTATTTAAATATGTCAAACATGTGTGATGGCTCTAATTTGTATAAATGCCCAACAGATAAAGTGTAGTAAAACAAACACCTAAACTTGCATTCTGGATGTTTTCTTTCTACTTGTCTGAATGAAGACATGTTTAAGACTCAATACTGCTTGAAAAAACAATGTTTTTGCCTTTTTAGTTTCTCACCTTATTGATTTCTGATCACACTTAAACCTAAAATATGATGTAAATCTCATGGCGCCTCATGTGGTTTGGACAAAAACATGATTAACACATTAACACGTGATCACATGTATCACCACCCACATACGCTTATGTTGCCATGAGAAAATTATTCCTCTGTATCAGCGCTTCAGGGCACATTATATAGAAAATACAGCAATTGTAGTACAGTTGTAGTGATACAGAGAAATGTAATGCATATTTCTGAGAACACTCTAAAACGTTGTGTCAGCATGAACAAGGAACACAATTTGACTTTCTATGTTATTTCTTCTTATTCTTAAAACTCTTTCAATTATCCATTAAACCTAAAATCATGATTTACATCCATGAAGTATTTTTCTTTGTCCATGTTTGTGCTTTCAAATGTGTTGCTTTGACTTCAGAGTGAATATTAAAGTATAACACTGTATTTCACTGACAATAAATATCATCTTGCATTCAGTCTGCTTGAAAACTCAATTACAGAAAACTGAACACACCCACAGTAAGTGTTCAAGGATTTGTTGTGTCATAACCAGGCTCGTGGGTGGTTTAACTCAAAATAAGGACATTTATTATAACCAAAAGCAAATCATGTAACAAATAATAATAAGTAAGGCGTGTGACTATCAGTAGTATCAGTAGCATAGGTGTGAATGAGTGAACATGATGGGATGTAAGATGTTGTGGAGCAGAAACAAAGCAAAAAGGTAACAGAGTGTCACCACCAATGAAGCCGGGTCAGAATGAACAAGAGAGAGAGCAAGAGAGAGATGGCTGAACTTTATGATGCCTTCAGGGACCCACAGGTAAATGGAATCTCGGCCTCCGTGGCAGCAGCTGACATTGGGCCATCACAGTTGCTACAGACACACGCAGGAGGCCAGAATACCAACCATGAAGACATACTTGTGACCTCATTTTTGTGTCGGTGCATCCCATCCTCATGAACACAATATCCCGCCCAGAATTAATTCCTTCAAATTTGGAACAAACATCTACATGGACTCAAAGATGAACTGATTAGATTAGATAGAAGGTCAAAAGTTAAGGTGTCCGTCCTGTTGTCGTGAAGGCGTTGCATCCTGCAATGTCTGGAGGGAGTTTCTTCAAATTTGGCACAAATGTTCACTTGGACTTAAGGATAAACTGATTAGGTTTTAGTTAAAGGTCACTGTGGCGTCATAAAACAAGCTTCTAGCTAAACCTCATAAATTCATACTCTAATGATTTGACAAAATGTCACACACACACACACACACACACACACACACACACACACACACACACACACACACACACACACACACACACACACACACTGTCTAATGGGATAAAATGATGAAGTGATGACATTCTACATCCCAAAGGTCAAAGGTCAAGTCTGGACCGCCATGACAGAAACTACTGACAATAACCTGCTGTTAATGGTCATTTTAGCTTTAACTACAAATAAAAACAACAACAACAATAACAATAATACAAATATTAAATAGATTTTTACAGAATTTTGCTGTATGTTGGAACAACAGCAGGTAGAATGTGGCTGTATTTTTACTTGGATTTATTTCAGCACATGTAATAAATGATGGAAATCAAGAACTAACTTCTAGACTAAAATTCTAATTCTATCTTCAAATAAGTTCATAACAACATCAAACCCACCACTGCAGTAAATAAGTGATTATTTTGTCATAAGTTGTTAATAATCTGTTAATAACAAATCATTACCAGATCAAATAACATGAGAATGTCCATCCAGTATGTCGTCAGTCCATCGTGGGCCTGATTGAGGCAGAAGCTCACCCCTACAGCCAATTAAAATCACCGACTGTCTCCAAGTGTCTTTGGACTGCACATGAAGAAAACCCACACATGCACAGAGAGAACATGCAAACTCCACACAGCAGGTTCAGATCTTCTCCCATACATTTATCAATTTTTAAAGAAAAGATTGTAGCCTAAATTATCAGAAGATGTTTGACTGTGAAGTTGCATTGCCTCTCTGGTAACAGAACAATAGCTCAGAGAATCTGAGATAATAAAGGGAAATGTGGTCACCAAGTAGCACTTTTTAATGATAAATACACAAACACTTTCAAACAATTTTAAGACATTTATTAAATCATCACATTATAGATTATAAAACTTCACAGTTCACAAAAAAGTCATAAAACTCTGCAGTGATCGCTGAGCTCCTTCAGGCCTCCTCTGGTTCCTCAAACTCCACAGTCTCCAGCAGACCCTGGAAGGAGAAGTAGTGGGAGTTGCAGTAGACGGGAGGCTTGTTGGGACCCGAACCCACCACTTCTGGTTTCAGTGATGCAAAGGGATTTTCTCCACTTCCTTTCATGTCCATCTCCAGCTCCAGCAGGATCTGCAGAGAGTAGGTCATCTCTGTCTCGCTGCAGAGACGACAAGCAGCCATTATCAGCAGCCGTTAGGGACGGACATTAACCCACAGCGATAAGAAAGCAGCGGGAGGATAAAAATGTGGGCTCGGTAGAGTGTGGAGAGAGCACGTTCATCAGACATTTGCTGTATTTGCATACTGTCGTGCGCCTGTCTAACATATAGTAAAAAAGCAGCAATGGCACTGTTTATTTTATATTGAGGCAATTTTAACTGCTTTATACAGTAGAGCTGCAACTATTAAATAAATCACATATTCTAACTATTTATTGATCCGTTTCAATAATGTTTTTAAGAAAAAAAAATCAAAATATTCATATTCCAGCTGCTTAAATGTGAATGTGTTTTGGTTCTTTCATCCTCTACTAGAGTAAGCTGAATATGTTTGGGTTGTGGACAAAACTAGACATTTAAGGACATGATCTTGGGTTTTGGGAACACAGACTGACTTCTTTTTTTTTTTTTAAACTGTTTTCTGACATGTTATAAACCAAACCCCTAATTCATTATTCAAGAAAATAATCTTCACTATTATTTGCAATCAACAACTGAAAATACAGTTAGTTAGCAGCTTTGTTATACAGTATGTTTTGGGGTAGTTTAATCCATTACAGAACGTTATATTTTATAAACCAGTGATCCCTGTTGTCATAAAATCTTGATCTAGAAAATTGAGAAGAACCAATGACGTCAAAAAACGTGCAGTAAAACGTACAATACTTCCCTCTGGTGAATTTAATGTAGCGGCAAAATACCAATGTCTTTTTATCAATCAGACTTTATTTTTAGGATGTATTTCTAATTTCCAAAATGTGTGGGGCTGCTGTTGTTTAACACTCACTTGAGAGCAGTGAAAAGAGAAGGAATATCATAATCCCTGAGGAGCAGAAGTGTTGGAAGCCAGCCTTCATCCAGGCCTTGACTGGCATCAAACCCTGGATGCAACATATATGAATAAGAATTACATCCTCAGTCATAGTTTCACAATACAAAAATGTGTAAAAGTTCCCACTTTTTATCATATTTTCAAGTACTAGTAAAAGATGTTCTCACCAGGATGGAACCCGACCACCAGGTCTGGCTTCGCTGCTTCGTCTTTCTCCACCAGCTCCTCCCAGAACTGGTGGTAGAGGCCCTTGTAGGCGCTGACGAAGACCCTCTGCTTGGGACCGAAGGCTCTCAGAGGAGGCCTCACTACGGGCCCGGCCAGCACCTCGGGCCCCACCATCACTACCTCGATGCCCTGGTGTCCAGGGAACATGTTGCTCAGCTCGTCGTAGTCGGTCAGTCTGGCTGCCAGCGTCTCAGCGTGTCCCGCTCCCACCAGGTGAACGGTGACAGGTTTGGAATAAGGGTTGAGACCAAACAACCTCATCGCCCAGGCTATCGTCAGCGGCCTGGAGAAGAACTCGCTGCAAACCCTCCACAGCGACTGCTTCAGGTCGTCGTCGTCGGGCCGAGACCTGCCGGCGTTGCTCCACAGGTCCTTCATGTTTGCTCCGTTCAGGATGGGATCGAGGCGAGCTGTGAGGTCTCCCTGCATGGCCAGCCAGTCGTCCCAACCCTTCACCTCGGACTGGGGCTTTGACCATTTCTCTGTAGGAAACGGGAGGTCACCTGATAGGAGGGGAGAAAAGATGCTCAGTTCTTTAGTTTTGCAAATTACTACTACAACAGGATTAAAATCTTCCTTATTTCTTTCCAGGAAGAAGAAGAATGAACCTGTTTTCCATCAGTTTGTGCCTTTCATACACATTTTTACCTTTGAACACCAGCCACTCCACCACTCTGTCAACGGCAGCCTGACGCAGCTTTGAGCAGAACTTCTTGTGTTTGGGCCAGTCGTCCTTCTGACAGTTTTTACAGCAGTAGTAAACATTTAGACATCTGGGCAACGACAGGACAAAGGAGTTGTCTGTAAATTCCTAACTTTGATGTAGGAGTATCTTGGCAGCACAGGCTGGCTTTTGAAATTTTTTCTTTCTTTTTTTTTTGTACCTGGCACAACGCTTAAGGCTCTGTGGGTTTGAAAGCTGGTTCGGCCACTTCTCACAGTGAGCACAAACTTTATAAGATTCCTCCATCTTCTCGAACATCTCTTTCTGGGAGCGGAAGGCCAGAGGTTTAGCCTCGGTCTCCGGAACAGCTCTGGAAAGAGGAAATAAGAAAGTCACTTCTTAAATTCTATCTGACAGTTTTAAAATTCTTATGTTGTTTATTAATTATTATTATTATTGGAAACAGGCAGGTGTTGGTTAGTGACTTAAATAAATCGTTATTAACAGTTATAAAGATCCTGCTTCACTGTACATCATTTTATGTTCACTCAGCTTAGAAATGTTTCTAAGAGTTTCTTTGTTGCCTTAAAAACATGAATCAACTGCATTTCAGCACGTTAATTGGCTCAAGGTCATCTTCTGAATTGTGAAAGTGTAAAATAAGCTTTAAATAACCTTGAGAAAAACAAGTTCAATAAATTTAAGACATTAAGTTGAATCAGCTGGCCAGAGTCAGGGATTTCATATTTTCAAAATTTAAAGAGTTTCTTTGTCATGTGACATTGAAAACATACAGTCTCAGGTATTGAAGCCATTTTTGACCAGAGTCAGTCCAACGAGAATCTATGATCTATCTATGAATCTATCATATGGACAATTATTTATTTCGAGTATTCTGAAAACCATAGTTTCTTTTAACGAAGACACACAGTCATTTGTGTTCAAACAAAATTTTCTAGGGAGTTTTAATTATTTAACAGTGCATCCTGGGAAATGTGTTTCCATGCTAATTATGTTTGTTATCAACTTAATTTATTGAGTTGAATCAACTCTCAGCTTTTTATTCATTCAATCAACTTATTATTTTAAGTCCAGATGTCTGAGGTGAGCTCATGTTTTTAACTGCTAAAGTGGTCTGAAAATACAAAAGAAGACATTTCAAGTTTAATTAATTCACATATTTACATTAAAAGCACTAGAAAGATGAGATGACCTGACTCTGTTTCTTTCTGTTGTTTCACGGTGTTGTCACAAAATGTGTGGACCGCTAGGCCGTATACACTCCTATTCTTAGACTGCATTTGTTGGTGTGTGAGGGAGTGGAGTGAAGGGAATGCAGCTTTAAGTTCACTTTACATGTTGCATTACTTGAAGCGTATTGGTGCCTGAAACCGAATGCAGCATATGAACCCATGACGAGAAGCCGTTGAACATGCGAGCGTCTCAGAATGCCACTCAAATGTCACGCTGTCACCGTAGACGAGCACATGGTGGCTCAGCTTCTGCTCACGTCGCACTACAGGCCTGTCGTTTTTTTTTTTAAGGTGGCAGGATGTGAACGTTTAGGAACGTGCTCAGGAGCGACACGAACTACCGATTAAACGGGAAAACTTATTGCACTTACCTCTCAGTTTCTGCCATTGTGAGTGGTGTGAATGAGCGTGACTCAGGCTGCTCAGCTGCTTCCTCTGCTCTGGTTTGATATGTGAGCGGCCTGTTGGGGGGCTGCAGAGCCAGATATAGCACCTGTGCTTTGGCTTCTAGAAAAGTCTGACAAATCCAGACCGTTCTTGACTTCACAGGAGCTCCACTCCTGTGGGAAACTGAGTAAAAATCAAAGCATGCTGGCGGGTTTTAGGGCAAGACGGAGGCCAGCCAGTTGGAAATACAGGGGACAGGGGCAGAAATGATGGAAAATGTCCAAATTCAAGCCCCTCGTCTGTTTAGACTTGTTCTGATTTTATGAAGCAACCATAACCTGTCGAGGGTCATCTTTACCCTTTGACCCTGCTGAATGTGAGCCTGGCAAGAAATCCATCAATTATTACACATAAATATCCAACCAAGAATTTCTTTCTAACTTAAAGGAAATGATATCAATTAAATTATTTTAATGCTGACTCAACAAGACATGGATACTCAACGCCCCCCCTGAACCTTCCTCTACTTCCTGTGTGCTTCTCTGACTTTCATCCACAAGAGGTCAGTGTCACACTGCTCCACCAGACGTATCGATATAAACGTATAAAATCTCACGCAGACAGAGATAGGATGGTATTTTTCACACTGTGGTATCAGTGTCACTGGTGAGCATTATTAATTATTTTCACCCTTTTAAAAAGGATTCTCAAATATACACTTCAAATTCCGACACATTGCGTTTAGGTTAATGAGATGTGACGGGTGGATACAGTAGTGAGGTAATTTAGAGATCAAGTGACTTCAATGCATTTTGGGAGATCGCTGTGATGAGATTGGATTTAATATTCAAGTTGCTTTACACGTTCTTAGAATTGATTTTTGAGGTGCTTTGTTGATGAATGCTGGTCGAGATACACAATGATATCGGCCATTATAAAGGCTGGAGAATGAAAGTCAATTAAGTTAATAATCATGTCTGAAAACGTTACATAAAAACAACTATAGCGTGTTGTAAATATAAAGTAGTTTTCTTATTGTGTACATTTCAGCAGCATTTTATTTAATGTCTGCATCTGCCAGCGAGTCATCATGGTTTAATATTAATAAAATAACATGTTAATGCCACGACAGAAGTGACCCGATGTTTCCTGCAATTAGGTGGAATATATGTGCATCCCTGGTAAATTATATAAATACCAAACCATTCCTCATTTTGATTAATGCATCAGCAGAGAATGAGGGCACACAAACAACTACTTGAATCATTTGCAGAAAGTGGGTCTGTGAGTGGTTTTCTAGTCATGAATTGGCATTTTTTTAAGGCAGAATCCTGCCATTTGTCCACCACTTGTGTTGTAATAATGTTCATAATGGTACAATAGGGCTGCAGTGATACATGAAGTCTGATTTAGTTTGATTGTATCAGGCTGATAATCACTTATCTCCTGGTAGTTTTTGCCACTGTGGCCTTATGCCATTTTTTTTTTACTACTGCTATGTAATCCACCCCCAAGTGAAACTCAAACAGCTGCAGTTTGCTCGTGGAGACTTTCACTGAGGACATGGGAACCTATTCTGGGTTCAGCCTTGTGTTGCGTCTAATAAACACATGTTAAGCAAGTCCTTCCACCTCAAGCCCAGCCAAATCCAGGCTAATGCTCAAAGAGACAACACATCGTAGTCATTTAGGGTCTTTAAAATGTACTTTGTGGTCTATTTATTACAAGGTCAGAATGCTTCAGGATTTTTTTATTTCTTATTAACGTGTATGAACACAGTCACTAATGTTAAAAGGGCCACCATAAAAACACTAACGAGAAATCTGACTTTTAAATACTCCAAATACTTCAGAACCACAGACTCTCCATTGAAAGTCCAGCAAACAGCCACAAACTTGAAGCAAAATTACACGATAAAAAAAAAGCGACACCAACAACAAAAGGCTTAAGTGAACTGCAGGCTCTGCGGCCCTCTATAATTAATTTAAGCTTCATTTTAGATGGTGCGTTACATTAGTATGCATGGAATCTGATTTCATGCAGCTGCTGAGAGCTTTGGGAATTGGTCGAGCCGCAGAACAAATCACAGGAAGCCATCAAGTGATGACTGAACCAATTTTGGTCTCATTATGTACAATGACCCTTTAAATCCAACATCCATGTCACCTCGGGGCAGGAGCACAGCAGAAACCTTTGTGCCCTGCTGCTGCCATCATGCTATAAAATGGGCTTTGAGGGATTTCTGTAATCTGCCTCATTAATTAATAAAGTCAGAGCTCAAAGGGTGCTGTTTAGTACATGTTTAAAGCAGGGAACGTGCATTTTCCACCATGACAAACATCCTCTGCCCTGAATGACTAAAGCAGTGTTGATATGTGTGTTGCAGCACAGCTGACTTGTGTCCATCTCTTGCTGTAAGCTGCTCCCCAAAGCCAAAGCAAGCTCAGAGTTTCCTCGATGTTAACTGTCTGCATCTAGACCCCCAAAGTTGTCTTCAGGCAGCAGCCCCTGGAAACAGACGTAGTGAGAGCTGCAGTAGACCGGAGGTTTGTTGGGACAGGCCTGGACCTGCTCCGGTTTCTGCGAGGTGAACGGATTGGGTCCACTGTCCCTGATGTGCATCTCCAGCTCCTGCAGGATCTGCATCGAGTACTTGAGCTCCATCTCACTGCAGGATGACAAAGAGATGATGAAGGAATCAATTTTAACTCGTATTATCCTCCCGAGACGCTCATGAGAGACTAAACACCTCTTCACAGACGCCTACAAGAAAATTGTGGAGGAGCAGCATCAACGGAAGAGAAAGACGGCAGCATCATGCTATTTCATCAAGTTACGCTCTACAGCGGGCGTTTGTTGAGAGCGCCTGCAGTTGAAGAAACTAATCTTTTCTTCGACTCGGCCTTTGTACTAACTGAGGGAAGGAGTGTGAAGAGAGTGCGATCTGGGTCTCGGACAACTATGCCGAGACAAAGGACTGCCGTGATGAGGTCAGCCAGGTGAGGAGCCGGGAGACCAAATACTATACGTGGGTGAACAGGCCGGAAAGTGGGTGCAGTGTGTTGTTCTATATTCATCAGTTCTGACATTTCTTTCTGGAGGAGCGAGCAGATGGTATAGACATTGCCTTAATGAGGCCCTCCGGCACAAAGACTTTCAAATATTCACTATCGCTCAGAGGGCGAGAGATATTATTATCTGTGCTATAAAATGTGAAACAAGTTATTAGAGACAAAGTAAAGCGGCTAACCTGTACATGGTGAAGAAGGACGGGATGTTGTAGTCTCTGAGCAGCAGAAGGGTGGGCAGCCAGCCTTCCACCAGGCCCTGGGTAGCGTGGAATCCTGGGTTAAAACCACAATTAAAAAAAAGTCTTTAATGTGCATATATAAGGCTCTTAAGCAGACATGACCGAAGAAAGCATTCCTTTTCTGTAACTGTGTGGTGAGAAAACACCAACCAGACCACCACCTTACGTATAATATATATTAGAATTACAACTGTTAAGGTTCCTCTCTGGTTTTCAATTTAACCCCCTGTGTTTTTAAGCTACATATTTAAAAGTTAAAAATAATCCCTCCATGCGTTTTATTGGCTTTGATGAATGTGTGGATCTCTGAAGTCTCAACCTCTTTCTCCACCCTCCTCTTCCTGTTGGCTGCATCTCAAGTACACCAGCTCACCGACAACTCTGCTCAAACACTGTAAAACTATTTTACGCTGCACAATGACAAGCTGAAGCATCGGAGTAATTCAAACCTGAAACTTATTCTAAAGAAGAAAACTGATAAGTGCCAGCCTGTAAGCTGACAGGATTGGTTCTGTAGGTTTGTTACATATAAAATCCAAGAAGTCAGAACCCATGTTTTTGAGAACGTCATCGATACGCAGTAGTTTCAAGATGGAAGTATTCCACTATTGGCTTGCCTGCTTATTTCTCTCATGATGCTTCTTCCAGCACATAAAAGACACCATCCACATACGTTAACAAGGTAAAAAACTTGATTTTAAACCACTGAAAACTTGAATTGAAGACACAGTGTAAACACAACAGTGACACATTAACACCTTTTATGCTTATCTTCCAAACTTCTTCGCAAACACTTGCTCATGACACCTACATTATCCAGGAAATGAGTGATGCTGAACGATGACTGTGAACAATTATTATTAGGTTAGCGTTAGATAATTAAGTTAAGGTTAATCTTTCATAGGACAGTAGGCTCAAACGTGGTATCCGACTTCCTAAACAGTGTAAATCCTGCCACTGTGTGATGTGATTTATGGCGGGCCTACAAAAAAAATGCAGTTTTGCTCTTGCTTGACTACCTGTTGCCATATTTTGTAGTTACCCAAATATTTTGAGAGGTTATGTCCTATGTGCAGTATCGTCATAACTGCGATGCAGTTGTAAAACTGAAAAATCTTGAAATAGGAGCAGCATGCTGGCCACCTGATAAACTCCAGCATTCCCCCTCCTTCTGTTTTGCTCTCCGCTCCCCTCCCACATCCCAGGAGGAAAGTATGTGGCTCTTTAGCAGCTAAATGCTCCACCCTAAAAATGAGTCAGCTGAGAGACGCTGACACTAAAAATCTCTTGAGCTGTTTATCACCATTCCAGTCTGTACAAGACTGACAGAGGAGAAAGTCCGGCCGCTTTTTTTTCGTTTTCTCCCCCAGCGGGTTGAAGATCGAACAGATTACACTTGATTAGTCTCCAGCTGGCCATGTCGTTCTCTTGTTAGCTAGAATACATCTGCTTCCAGGCATGCCTAATTATCAGTCAATATGACGAAAGGGAGTCTTGCTGCAAAACAAGCGGACCTCATTTACAAAACTTCAGCTGGACTTGCGAAAGCTTGCTCAGGCTTAAAACTCACACTGCACCAGCTGGATGTTTGTGACATTGTCGCTCAGTCACACAGTCGATGCACTGCAGCAGTCCGGCTATATTTACGAGGGGTTGGGTACATAATCCTGCAGCATATTAACTGACAGATGTCACTCTCCCCTGACTCTGGTTTATATCACTAGTATGTTTTTGTTTTTTTTTTGAGCAGCAGGATATGGTGAAAAGTTTGCCCTTCAACCAGATTACTGAGGTTCAAGCCACCATGGCAGCAAATACAGTAAATCCATCCAGCTTAAGTGTCCTTGAGTGAAACAAAAAAACAGGCGAGCAACAAACAGAATCTCCCAAACATTAAAGGAAAAGTATGAATGTGAGACATGTGCATTTGTTAAAGCTTCAGTTGTACTGCAGCACTTACTGGTGTGTATACTTTCTATGTGTGTGTGTGTTTGGAGATGGGGGACTAAGAGCACGCCACAGAGGCAGCGAATTGTGAGTCCTGTGATACTGGCACACAGATGGTATCATGTTATCCACCGCCTGGCACAAGTCAAACTGCAGGAGAAAAAAAAAAGGGGATTCTGATTTGAATAATGCATGCTATGATACGAACATCCCAGAGGTTACACTTCTCATCGTGATAAAACATTTAACAGGGAGTAAGTGGTTAGAGGTTTAGACCTTCAGGAGATAAGGTGACAAAGAGAAGCTATAGTCTGACTGTTAATGACTGCAATAATTGCCTGGCACCCGTGTGAATTTGGGCCATATGGTGGATAAAGCTGATAATACAGTCGACTTATTTCGCCTCCTGATCCGAAAAAAAATCTGTTTCAGAGCTACATGTGTAAAAGCAGTTTATTCCACAGATATCAAAAAAAAAGCAAGCTGGATGCTGTGTTTGCATTCATGAAGCACCTGTTTTGGGGCTCTATCTCTCCGTGGATGACATTACGTAGCCCACATCAATCTCCTTTGTGAAAGCCGACAGTTGGCATCACCTCTTCTCTCCTACTCTCAAAGGTCAATGTCTCCCTGTTTCCCTTGTAAATCTGTTTTGTCTGGTAGCCTTTCCCCCCTCCCTAATTCCCTTTCTCTCTTGTGACTTTCACACACACACACACACACACACACACACACACACACACACACACACACACACACACACACACACACACACACACACAAACACCTTCTTTTTTATTCCTTTCGTCATGCTGCCTGCTCTCCTATCGCTTAAATAGTGTCATAATGCAGTGCTCTGCCAGCTTTGCAGTATGAAATGCAGCCAGGCTCTCAGGCAGTTTACTCGTAGGATGACTGATTCCTGTATATTTAGCTCCAGTGGAGCCTGCAGTGATAACTGAGCCAGGGGTTGTGGGTACATTCGGGTCGGGGCTTTGCTGCTGATTTGCGGGTTAAAGGGTCAAAGAATAGATTCAGTGCAAGAGCTTAGGGGGTGTAGGGTTATATTGCCACTTTAATGAGGTGGATCTCAGTGAGAGTGGACAGGTAGGTGTCAAGACCTTCACTCTAACAGGCTATTTGCAGTTGCCCTTTCTATGATAGTCAATAAAGTATTAACTAATCCTGCAAAGGAGGCTTCATTCGTTCAGAACAGTGCTGGTCCTCAGACTGACTCAAATCTGTGATTTTGTGACTACCTGGGGGTGGGTGGTGGGTGGTGGGGGGCTGAGCCTCCACTTTATGAGGGCAGCTTACTGACATTATGCTGAGTCCAGTGATCGCAAGCCAAACTCTTTCCCAGCTGCTCCCATTAATCACCCAAATCCCCAATAAAAGCCCGGCGCTAATGAATAGGCCAGATCTAGTGAGTTACGTGTCTCCTACTTTCTCTGTTCTCTGAAAGAGGTAATTGTCAGATGAACATAAAGGAAGACAAGTCACTGCTTCTCCAAGACAGCTGACCACTTAAGCTAAGCTGTTTCTATTCATAGCTGCAGTGATCATTATAGTCTTTACTGCTTGATTTAAAAGCATTTTGAGTTCAGACCTCTCTCAAGATTTTTTGCACTGCTACAGTTGCGTCTCAGACGCCCTTTATATCCTGTTTGCTCATGTCTGGCAGGTAGTTTTGAAGACATACCAGGATGGAATCCAACCACCAGATCTGGTTTGGCTGCTTCATCTTTCTCCACCAGCTGCTCCCAGAACTCATGGTAGAGGGCCTTTTGGGCACTGATGTAAACCCTCTGCTTGGGGCCAAAAGCTTGAAGAGGGGGTCTGTTGATGGGGCCGTCTACCACCTCTGGTCCCACCATCACTATCTCTATACCCTGGTTTCCAGGGAACATGCGGTTCAGCTCATCGTAGTCAGTCAGTCTTGCTCCCATGGTCTCATTGTGGGACGCCCCTGCTATGTGGATGGTGAGTGGTTTTGCATACGGGTCCAGACCAAAGCGTTGCACAGCCATCCCAACTGTGAGGACTCGTGAGAGGAACTCGCTCTGAATTCGCCATAAGGACTGTCGCAGGTCAGCATCATCTGGCCTCGGTCTGCTGGCGCTCCTCCAAAGGGTTGCCATGTTTGTGCCAGACAAGATGGCATCCAGACGTGGTGTGAGGTCCACCTGCATGGGCAGCCAGTCATCCCAGTTCTTCACCTCAGCAGCTGACTTGCACCACACCTCTGTGGGGAATGGGAGGTCTCCTGTTGGGGTGGGAGAACATTTACAATGGATTTATGAGACACAAATTTGAGGATACGGATTAGAGTTCATTCTGTCTGGCAAGTTCACAGGGTCTTTCAAAAGTGAGAGTTTCAAAAGCTGAAGAACTTTAATTAAAATTTAAAAAATGCACCAATGTTACACTGTGACTTTCTCTTTTTGTCTCTCAGGCATTTCATTTCTGCAGCTAAGCTTTAAAATATGCCATTTCATTACTGTGATTTCTCTGTTTTGTTAACTCCAACAGCTATTCAGGCAAATTTTAATTTGGTCGACACTGCTTTTTCTTTTCTCACCCGTGAACATCAGCCACTCCACTAGTCTGTCAATAGCCACCAGTCGCAATGTCTTGCAGACCTTTTTGTGCTGAGGCCAGTCCTTTTTCTGACAGTCCTTTGTGCAGTAGTACACATTCAAACACCTGTTGGAAAGAAACAGTAACACAGTGAAAATGGAAAAAGAGCAAACAGAAAAGGATGAAAACTAAAAATGGTAAACAAAAAGCACAACTTTAACTGAAAATGCTGTATGTGTTCTACTTTACATCCCCAAGCTATTGTGGTTTTCGGAATTCTTAGCCATATGCTAGCTATTGGCATGGCTCATGGGTGGTCAGTCAGTCCACCGCTTTGTTCAGGACTGAAATATCTTAATAACAAGGGATTGTCCTGCATGTAATTATTAATATTCAAAATTCCAAGAGGCCATATGACTTTGACCTTTCATCTATTACCAACAAGTAAAAATGAAAGTTTGCACAATACTTTGGTTCATGACCAAATACCTGGTAAACTAATGTCATCTCTGTCAGGATCAGTTAGCAAATCATTGCTGGGAAGCTAAGATGTTGAATCTGGTTTAAAAAAAATAATTTTTTTTAAAATTATCTGCTAATTAGCAAGATCATGCTAACCTGAGCATTTAGCCAAAAACAAAGGAGAGAAACCGGCCACTTGAAGAATCCAAAATGGATTGTGAGTGTCCCATTCTTCCACACATCTTTAATTCTGTATAATTTAAGGACGTTAACTCTTAGTGTTCAATTTAAAGCCAGCATTTCTTTACAAATGTATGGACATTTAAATTTTTTACCATCCAGTTTGTAGAATATGGAGCACTGGTGCAACAAAAACTAATAATGTCGGGCAAAAACTTAATATGTAGGTTGGTCTGTGTTGGCAGTTTTGTAAAATATTTTCTAACAAGACTTTAAAAATCCTACCGTATACATGCTGTCTGTACTTTACACAGCTAGCATTTGTTAAACGAGCCCATTTTTAATTATACACAAAATGACTGCCAACATAGTCAAGCCATAGAATAGCCTATAAACTAATTAGTTTTCCAACATCCTGTCACACAGTCTGGTTTCTCCAAAGTCCACTGAAACTGTGTGAATACATTGCAGAAGTATAATCTGTAGGGGAATAATGCTGTTTAAAGCTTATTCTGGGACAAATCCACTGTTTTTTAAAGCGGTATTTGTCAGATTTTACTGGTGATTCTATCCATGCAGTTTTTATGTCTCATTCAAACTGCAGTTATGGCTCTCTCTCCATTCATTTAGATGAGGAATAACTACCCAGAGGCATTACCAAGACGGATACTGAGTGGCGAGACTTTCCTACAAGTACTTTGATTTAGCTCAAAGCCTACTCCTGTCGACTCACACAGCTCCTTGCACGGCTGTAGACTCCAAGTCTTGCTCGGCTGTAGGACGAATTGAGGGACGAAATGTGACAGTGTACCGGAGAAGCACGCAGTGGAGGAAAGTGCTTAAAATGTTTTCCTCACTTTTCAGATATTTGATGCTAAATAAAGCGCTGCTATGAAGTTACCAAATGAACTCAGGCCCATGGAGGGGCAGTAAAATATATCAAGATGACTCTTTTATTATTAGGCCATCTGCTACAATGATGTATATGTGCTTGGGAATAAATAGCAAATTACATTATTGAGGAACCAGTCCTTTGACCTTTTCGTTTATAACACTGAAGATGAAGTTCCGCTTTAGACAACTGCAGGTAAAAATAGTCGCAGTAGGTAGATGCTGGAATTTATTACTGTTTATGTGACCTCTTTGTATGGATGTCGCACAGTTCAGGTGATGAGGTAATGCGTTGGATTAGAGGTCTGACAGCCAGCAGCAGTTGGTGCACTGGGAGACTAATATTACTTTACCTTGCAATCATTTGCAGCCTTAGAGGCATCCTGATTTACATAAAATCATTCATCAGCCACCGTGTTCGGTCATGGTGCACTTTGCGCGCAGTAATCCTCCAAAAGAAGCTTATAAGTGGACAAAGTGAGTCAAAACAAGGTGAGAGAACAGACCTTGGAAGCTGCAGCAACTCCTGCAGTGATACCTCCTCTTTAAAATATAGAAGAATGTGAAGCAGAATAAGAAGTAGGAAGGTGCTAGAAAGTCAGCAGTGTTGGATTGTTGGTGGTAATTCTGATGTCAGGGTCTTGAGGGTTTTACTTGTCAGCATTTTTGCTTTTTTTTTTTTGTCTGCCTAAAAGCCTGCTGCTACTGGTAAGTTTATTGAGGGAAGCAGTGGCAGCTGAGAATTTCAAGGGACTGCACATGCAAGACGGTGTACACGAGTGAATCAGAGACAGAAAGAGAGCAACAGAGGAGGAGACAGCCAGAAGAAAAACGAGGCACCAAAACAATGAAATGCAGCAGCTTCTATTCCACCACTTATTCTCAATGCACTGCTTGAAATATACCCTGTGATGCTGTGACATTATGAACTGCATTAAGCTGCTCTTAATAAGCTGCAGAGTTGCAGCGAGATGAATCACAGTCTGGGGATTTAGTTATATTTGCCATTGGCCATTGTCCACCGCTGTAGCACTGTCCGCTCTTTCGGTGGCTTATCATTCGGCTGCTGATAAAACGACAACTGGTAATTCTTCACACATGACAGCTATTGGACAACAGTATCAAAACAACATCCTGCTTGTGTGATGAGAGAGCTGAGCAGACAGTGGTGCAGGTTTCAGTTCCCTAAAATATTCCCGTTGTCAACAATGATTAGCGTTAATCATTCCGAATGCTGAATGTTGTAAATCACGAACAGACTCGTGATCTCTGCAGTCGTTCTCCAGCATCCCCCTCTTCACTTTGCACTCACTTCACACAGCGCTTCAGGGTCTGTCCCTCGGTGAGATGTTCTGGGAGTTTGTTGCAGCCGGTGCAGAACTTAAAGGTTTCCTCCATCTTCTGGAACATCTCCTTGTAGTTGCGGAATCCTTTAGCCTTTCCCTCAACAGCAGCCCTTATAAGAATCAGACACTCATCATTTGCCAAGTAAGACTCATGTTCTTGGTGGAAGTTAAGACACTGAAGTAACACAGAAAGGAAGTTTTGAAAGTATAGATGAAATCAAGTTATAAAGAGCAAGTGTGTGAAAGTGTAAAAAATGATACCGTATAGAACAGGGGTGCCCAATCCTGGTCCTCGAGAGCCCCTATCCAGCATGTTTTAGATGTTTCCCTCTTCCAACACACCTGATTCAAATGATCAGCTCATCATCAAGCTCTGCAGAAGCCTGATAACAATCCTGATCACGTGAATCAGGTGTGTTGGAAGAGGGAAACATCTAAAACATGCTGGATAGGGGCTCTCGAGGACCAGGATTGGGCACCCCTGGTGTAGAATATCACCTGGTCTCAGTCAAAAAAAAAAGTAACACAAAACAGCACCAGTTTCAACAATGGTGGCTCTCGGGTGATATGAGGATTATTTACCTGTAGTCTCCATAGTCCTTCATGTTGAGCTGGTTGAGAATCACCTTAGAGAGTCCAGGTACGTTGGAGTCCAGAGAGTAGAAGCCAGACTGGTCAGAAAAGACGCTGTCAGTCCTGGGACTACAGGGCTGTGGCAGTGCTGGGGTCTCGGATGCCATGTTGAGACCGTTTTGCTCCGCTAGGAAAAGAATAAAGCTTTAAATAATATGTACCCTTAATTTTATATCAAACACCTACAGTGTCACTGAATGTAGATTGATAGAACCTGAATGATACTGGATTTTGGCCTCAATATTGATTCTAGTGAGTAAGAAATTCTGATATCAAGGTATTGGCTGATATTGTATATATGTATAAAGCACTATACTGAGAAAGGAAATAATGAGGTAATTGTTTATTAACTTTCCTCAAATGTATTTCACAAACTAGTTAAGGACAAATGTTGACTCCGCACCACTGTCTGCTCAGCGGTGACACCTGCTCTGCTACATGTGCTGCGGACGGTGCTGAGACTGTTGTAAATAGTGCCTCTGCCAAACTATGTGATGACACTAAATTACCCAAAGTATGTTTTTTTCCCTCTATTATGTTCTGTAAAAGAAAGTTTCTGTTTTTGTGTATTGACATATACGCCCATTCTAATAAATCAGCCCAATATCAGCCGAGAGTGTCTGCCAGCCGATACGTTCGTCGGGCTCTGCTTAACGCTCCCATAAATCTTCTTATTGTTGATTCCTGTGGTTTAGATTCTCACCTTGCTGCAGTAATTTAAGTGTTACTTCCAGAAAGTACACTTTTGATCAGACCCAACAGTGATGCTGGATGTGGTCGGAGTTAAAAACAGAAACAACAAAATCTAAACCGGATTTTTTTGTTTTGTTTGAATCACAGTAATGTGATATTCCTCACTGACTGCTCCGTATTGTATTGTTATTGTGTTTCTACACTTCACCTCATGATCATGGCAACAAAATATAAAATAATTTACACTTCGATTACTGTCAAGAGTAACAAGATCTTGTAAGGAAGTATGATAAACTGCTTCACAATGTGTTGTGTCTATTAGCAGTGCCAGGGGTAATACATCACTGTCATTGCATTACATTTGTCTGTAATGCGCTAATCAGACAAATTACTGTCCTTAAATCCAGTAATCACATTACAGTTACTAATCAGCTACAGTTACTGATGTTATTGTTATCAAAGCTTACTGCCACTGCAACCCTGACATGCAACTGAGCCTTGTTGACTTAACAAATTTCTGCAACTTCAGGTTGGTTTTCACCGACTTGGTAGTTTTATTTGTGGTCATACTTTATCAAAGAGCATAACAGAAAATTCTTGAGTATATCATCCTTATTATGGCAGCTGATATGTGAGTGTATATAAGGCTTAGCTTTAAATTGTTAACTGGAAATTCGGTGAAATGACATTCCAGCCAATGTTGCATCATAACACTAAAAGAATGTAGGAAGCATCGTAAAAAAAAAAATTTTGTACAGCGAGTTAATGAGTATGTAATGTAGCAGTAATGCCTTACTTGCGAAAAGCCTAACGAGTAATGCGTAATACACAAGTGGCAGCCTCTGGTGCAGAAGTGGCAGAAACTGCATTTCCTCCAATGGCCACTCGAGGCCGACTGTAAAAGCTAGTCAGTCCCCATAGACCACCGTGTTAAAGTGTCCAACTTTACAGCAGAAAATAAACATGTTTACAGCCTGGTACACAAGCAGCTTTGGTCTCTGTAGCTAATTTCCCCTCTTGTGACATATGTCTGAGGGATGAATTTTTACATCACTCACTCGTTTCCATTGCATTAAGCCCTTAAGTTGTGCATATTTTGGCTGAGAAGCGCTGCTCTGAGTGACAGGTGGGTGCTGTGACAGGACAGTCCATGGCCTGCCTCAGCTTCACTCACACTCCCTTCTCTTTGCTCATTTTTGGATTAGGTGGGAGTTAAGAGAAGTCAAGCACTGCCAAGATGCTGACAGCCGGAGCCACCGCATTACTTTTTTTTTTTTTTTGAATAACGAGCCCGACACTGCTGATAAGCCATTAAATCCACGGATCTGTCACTCAAACTGCACCTGGATTGTGTTTCATTATTTCACCGGTACCTGATTCAAAACAGCCCCATCAACATCGTCCCCGACTTTGGCTCCTAAAAACACCAAATCTTTTGGTTTTGCAATCTCTGTGCTTGCTGACAGATACAGAGCAGAGTCAGTGGGACGGGAGGGGAAGGGATAAGAACCCTCCCCATCAGATCAGACTGACACATGAGAAGAAGCAGGAATGGTACTGTGGAAGGAGAGACGGTTCTAAGCCTCAGTTATTTTGTACTGTGCACCCAACAACACACTGTGGAGATGTTCAGATGACTCCGTTCGGGCTTTGAAATTCTACGCTTGACCCACAAAAGCCATTTCAGAACTGATGTTTGCGCTTTAACACACAGCCAGACACGAATACACACAGTAGGCTTCTCCCTGCCATCAAATAGGAATAGGATGTGAGATTTTCACCGAGCCGAAGCTGCGCAGATTCCTTCCTATTATACATTGTGTTAATCTCAAGGCGGACCAAGGTATCTTTCCTCGACATGTCTGAAATAGCGCGAGATAGAAAACTGAAGAGCTGGACTGTCTTTGTTGCTTTAAAATACGCCCTCTCTCCCACACAAACACTCCAGGCTGATGGCCTTGATGACAGAAACCCTCATGACAAGAGGATCCACGCAAATCTCAGACAAGCCGAGGCTCCATTAGGCATGTTCTTGGAGGTGCGTCATTGTGTCTCTGCCCTTGATGGAAATCCTCCGTCCCCACAACCCGTGCTCCACCTCACCCCACCCACCCGCCCACCCACCCACTCTGAGCACATCACATGATTTATTCACTTGGCCACACATGAGGATAAGTAAGAGGAGATAGAAATGTGATCATCTGGTGGTGGCCCGCACGTCCCTGCGGCGCACATGCCTCCTTTAGCCTTTCTAGATTTTATTGGATGCCTAAGTTGCGGACTAAAGTGATGTAAGTGCCTGTAACTCTCACACCCCTTCATCATAATCGAACATATCTACCTTTCTTTATAGTATAACTGAATGTCTCCTGACCTTGACAACATTCCAACTCTACTCTAAAGAACAGCACAGTAAATGTTTCGCTCTATACTCACAACGCTCCTCGTTTCACCGTTACATTAAAAAAAAAAAAAAAAGTTTTCTTCCACTTTGAGGAACTCTGTATCTTTTCAATTTTATACAGTGATGCTAGGGAGTAATTTAGTCTTATCATGTCTGCAGACTAAATTAAAAGGCTTATATCTAATTAGTTATTTCATATCTACAGAGCACCAGGGAAGCACAGGGTTGGAAAATGAACAGATTTCCCATGAGAGGGCAGGTTTTCACTTTTCTCTTCACACATATCTGACCACGGTTGGGTTTTTTAAGATCCTGAGCCCTTCCTCTGAGTAGCTAGTCCCTGCATTATCACATTTTCACCCCGCCTTGCAATGCACAACTAAGCAGAAGATGCCTGGAGTACATCACAGAGAGATGTTTTAGTAGTCGTACCTGTGGTTCCAGATGAGGAGGTTGCCATCTAGACGAGTTGTCTTGGATTTTGGTGGTGGATAAAAAGTAAGAAAATGATTGACAGCTCCTTATGCTGGGTGTCCCACACCTGATGGAGCCTCCCTCGTGTCTCTTGCTGGAGTCTGGGAAAGTTACCCCAGCAGAGAGAAGGGTGGAATGGGGAGTATGCAGTGCTCCTGTCGTCTGAGGTTAGCAGGGGGGAGGCTGCTGAGTGGGAGTGGGAGCAGGATGGGTTAGGGAGGAGGGGTTTGCCTTGGAGGAAGGTAAGAGCCAAAGAAAGGAGGAGGGAGGGACATTTTTAGAAAAAGAAGGGAGGGGTTGGAGTGGCAAGGGGAAGTAGATGGAGGTTTTGGAGAGAAGTGAACCTGAATTAGCAACTTGGGGGAGAAAGGGAGGTCCAGAGATCTGCAGACAAAACATTGAAAGCACCTGCTTAAAAGGCCTCCCTCATGCTGCCATAACAGAACTCTGGGGATGTCCTGTGGTGTTTAGCAATAGAATGTCGGCAGCGGTTCCTTTGGGTCACTGTGTAGGGCCTCCATGGATCAGGCTTGTTTTGTCTCTATGGATTGGGCTCTGGAGAGTTTCGAGCTCGGGTCAATGCCTTGAGCTCTTTGTTGTGTTCCTCGAGCAGTTCCTGGACGATTTCTCAGGACGGCAGGGTGTCGTGTTCTGCTGAATGAGGCCGCGCACGAGCTGTTGCCAAAGAGGTGTTGCTCGGTCTGCAACTCAATGTCTCATCAGCATGGATGCCAGGATCGAAGGTTTCCCAGCAGATCATCGTATCAAAACAAGACGATCAGCGTCATTCAGTTCTCCCGTCAGTGGTTTTAATGTTGTGGCTGAGCAGTGTGTGTACATATCAGAGAAACGCTCTGAAAGATTTTCTGCAAACACGCACTCAGCGAGGAAGTGGGAGTCCCGAGATGAGAGGAGGCACATCACAGGCCAGGAAATGAAGAGCCAAGAGGAATCAGTGATAACAAACACATCAGAAAGCAAATCTGTGGAATCAATAAAAATGCAGTAAACAAGCATATGTATCTGTGCAAAACAAACTTGATATGTAAATATATGATCCTTTCATAAGTATGTGTTTTTCCTCCAAAATATTTGCAGCTGCAAGAGGAAAGAACATTTAAACTCTTCGCTGAAAGTTGCTGCTTCTGGGTGCTTGTCAGGTCATTACTGAGTCACAAAAACCTCTTTGTTGTTCTTTAAAGAATGAAAATTAAACCTGTTTTTAATAATGACCAACTCTAATGTTTAATTTAAAAAAATTTATTTGGTCCATTGGAACCTGAGATTGAAAATTAAACATACATGTTTGTACACATATACTCACACCCCCCCAAAAAAGATCCATAAAATATATATCACATTCGTCAGAGTTAATTTTTTTCAGCATTAGGTTACTTTTTTTGTTTGTTTCTACTATCATACTTTCATTTTTTATTTTTTTTTACAAGTTTAAAAGGGTCAGTTGAATTTTTTTTTAAATTTCTTTTTTTTGTTTTTTAAATATTTCGTGTGTCTTAACTTTGCAGTCTGTACAATTTACAAGGAGGGAACTGGACACAGGAGAGGAGAAAAAGGCGTTTACGTTGGCTTGTCTGTCAATGACCACTTCTTCTCTGGCTGTTGTCTATTCAGCAGCAGGGGGCGCCCCTAATGCACAGAAGAGCCACCAACAGGACTTAACAGAAGAGCAGTGGGTTCATAGGACACCAGCAAGAGCCAAAAATGACGATTATGACAACAACAACAAAAAAAAGCACATAGTATAAAACAACAACAACAACAACAAAAAAGAATCTCATGTAAATGTAAAGTGATCCAGCAGTGATGCTAAATTTTGAGGTGCCTTTGTCTTTGCAGGTGTTTCAGTGCAGGTTCATTTCTGGTCAAGCTAGTTCCCTCTGGGCTCAAAGTAAAGCCGCAAATGATCACATTCCTTTATCTGTCATTCATCAGCTCAGTATTCAACAGTATTCATTAGAAAATAGGCCTGCAAATCACTTACACAAATAAATTAGACACTGAATTCACAGCTCCTCGGCTGTGACCACGCACACACTCACACAGGGCAGACACACGTCGCAAAGTGGTCATTACACAGGATGCTTCTTTGGGAAAACATATTTACAGTCGCTTCAGGTTTCATTCAAGAAACATTACATTGCTGTAGAAGCTTTAAAAAAATGTCCTGCAGATGTCATGAAGTACAGCCTACCGCCGCTGGTTGTGTAGAAGACTGCAGTATGCTGACAATAGAAGGGACAACGCTGTGAGTGGATTACTGTTTCAACAATGAACTTGACACAAAAACGTTGCTTTTGTTCTACTAAACGATCGCTAATTGTGTGAATGCTGCAAGGATTTTTCTGATCAGTTTTCAAGTGTTTTCCCCCCGTTTCACTACATATTAATAAGACGTCAACTTTTACTTGAGAGAAGTCTCCCACTCCGTTCTGTCACCGTAGTACCGCATTAATCTTTCCCCTCTCTCTCTGATGAAACATCTATGTTGCCATGGAGAGGACTGAAAGATCCTCAGTGAATCAGGAGTAATGGCTTTGACACTGGAGAAATGGGAAAGAACAGGTGGGTGGGGCCCCAAACAAGGCCCTACATGAAACAGCTATATCCGAACCATCCTGTGAAACAGCGCAGATGAAACTGGAACAGAACTAAACTATTTTCTGTGTCACAGCATGTCTCAGGGGTCTCCTCTGTCTCCTGTTATGTGTGCACGGAGTCTGACAAAACGGTAATTTGTTGTTTCCCGAGGACTCGTGTTGCTGCTAACATGCTGTCAGTGTATTCTTCTGGGAGGACGGCCCAAACACTCACGCTACACCCAAGTAAACAAAAGTGGTCCCTGACCTCCCAAAGTAAACTCAGCGGCTCCTCTTAAGAGCTCCCCTATGGCAAACAGCCACTAGTACTCCCCAACATGTAAATCCAGATACAAGTGTGAGAAACAGATACTAATTGATCTTCAGTACCAAAAAAGATAGACACAAATTGTGGGGCGTTACGAACCAAGACACAGCGAGATGTAGCATCTACAAGTGGGAGTTGCTCCCCAAGTATTAATTTGTGTGTAAACTGACTTTTGAAGTGGACAGAAAAAGCCAGTGTGCCTGAGGGGTCAACTATAAAGTTGCTCATGTAATGCCTCGCCTCCAGCATTTACACCCCAAACTGAGACTGAGTGAGAACGAACCAAAGCACATACGAGAAAGGAGCTCGCTGGTTGTTTCTCTGCAGGGAAAAAGTAAAAATTGCATGTTAGTCTATCTAAGCTTTAAAGTGGGATTTATGTCTCAGTTTTTCACCAGATAAAACCTTCCAACCACAACACTACTCTCCACAGGGCAGGAAAATGTGGCACCTCTTACACCAGGAACACACAGAGAAAACAGAGAAAGATGCTGTACCAGCTGTCTGGCCTCCGTACACCCGCCACAACATCAGCTTGAGGTTTCACTTGAATTCAACTTGCTGTATAAATCATAGGTTTGGTCCTGAGCTAGAGAGCGTGCTAGACAGCACTGTGGGGTGATGACGTCGAGCAGGGACAGACAGTACTGTATGGATGATGGCTTATTCTGCAACCTCAAAAACACAAATATGGACGAGACGGCAATATGAGTTGTGTATAAAACAAGTAAGACTTATATGGACAAGTATATGTTGTCAAAAAAAAAGAACAAACATGTATTACTATGAGTAAAATGAGTTGGGTTTGGCTCATAAAGTACCGTACTGAGGATGGGTGCGATAAACTCCCCCAGAAGTGTTCTGTTTTGTTAGCTGTCTTTGTGGACGACATAGAGAGTAGGGGAAGTGTCTGATCGGCTCGTAGGCTGTGGGCCGGTGCATGGCTCAGTAGTTTCAGCACTCCACCCTGCCTTTTTTTTGAAGCTCACTGAAAGCAGGGTTGTCTCCGAGCATATGAAACTGAGGGCTGACATCTGTTTCACATACAGCGCTTACTACCAGCTACCAGAAACATCCAGAGTTTAAAGTATTACGATCTGGATCTTCTCAGGTGCCTGGGTGAATTATCGTTTTGTGTCCAGGTCACTTCACGTGGCTCGCTTCCCTCATTTCATCCTGACATGGCACATCCACGAGGCAAGGGACAGGGCGCTTGTGGGCCGGATGAAAACTTCCGCATTTATGGAGCATTTGAAGGGGAGCAAACGCTGCTCATTTATGCTCTACATTCATGTGTGCATCCAAACAGACACACAAAACACATCTTCCTCTACGTTTTAGGGCTCCACACACATCTTGCGTACCCTTGCCTGATTTTCCAGTGGTCTGACAGTTCATTAGATTAGAGTCTGTGTGTGGGATAAGGAGGGCGGTGGTCATAGCGGCCTGGGCCGGTGCAGGCCGTCAATGTCTGGGGTGAGCTGGGGGCTGTGGGTGGCCTTGGTGGGGGTCCAGTCCCCCAGGGAGGCCTGGGCGGCCTTGCGGTGAGCCAGGCGATGGGTGATGGAGAAGCCGGCGTTTCCCTCCAGCTGAGAAAGCACCACCAGCACCTGCCTGCAGGGGGAGACAGAGAGCATTAAGAAAACATTGAGGCGCAAAGGGAAGTCTCCAGTTAGAGGCCTTTCTGGCTTCTGTCAGGGCAGATCAAGCACAAGGTGGGTGTTCTGAATACAAAGTATGTCTCACTTGTGCATTGTGTATGAAGCAGTGAAGTGTACAGAAGCAGCTGAATTTTACATTTTACTTTGTAAAAAAAAGCAACTTTCCCCAGCATTAAGATTTTCCTGGGACAGCAAATCTATACAATTATAACTCAGAATAATACATTTATAGAGAACATAACGAAACAATAAAACATAGTGGCACTCATCTCATTTCAGATAAAGAGCTGCTAAATAAATGCCTAGCACAGTGTTCATTAAATGAACCTGGCACAGGAGACAGGTTCATAGCTGCTGATGGACTCGAGTACCATAATCTTTACAACCCAACCTGGATTTCTAGAAATATTGGAACTTTTTTCTTGTATCATAGAACTGCTCCGAGAAGGTAAAGCTAGGATTGAAAGACGATTAGAAGATTTATTTTGAAGACTAAATTAGGTCATAGGGTGACATACAGCGATCTGCCACAACATTAAAACCAGCAACAGATCTTTTCAGTCCTGTTGGCAGCAAGGTTTTTTTTTCAATCACGC